CTGAACAATTTTGAAAAATAAAAGATGATGATCCATATTGCTGTCAAAGGTCATCATTTTTGTATCTTGTAATTTTTTCAAATAGTATTTTCATCTATTCTTGTCAAATGATATTTTCATCTCACAATTACATAACATTTATACAGATTATAGGTTTACTTGATATTTATATTTTTATACTCTAGGGAGTAAATTTAAATGCCAAAACTTACAATGGGGACTCTGCGCGGTCCCTTGCTCTGATTAATGGCCACATGAAGATAGTGAGTCTAATAGACCACCATGTCAATCCTTCCGCTCCACTCAGAGCAGACGCAGGTGAGGGCTCTCAGGGGTCATCCATTTTTAGCTTTTCTCCTTGTACTTGATCTAAGGGGGAAGGGACCTGGAAAAAGTCTTCTCTTTGTAAATTTGAGAAAATGATGATAAAAATAAATGATCCCAAAGAAAATACAGGCTTTTTACTTAAAGATGCATACAAAGTCAATTTTTTGTCACAAAAACCAACCAAATGCCAGCATATAGTTTTAAGGAGTATAACTAAGCTGCTTCAGAAGGACATGAAATTATTGTGCAATATTTGCTACAACATGTACGTGATTAAAGAGTATGGACTAANATGGTGAAGTTTCTGTTGAATTCTGGTGCCAACACAGAGGCAGTGTAAGTTATGAGGACTGTTACTGTTTTTTTTTTCACTGCCTTAACTCCTACTTTTTTTAAGAATAAGTGGTAGAAACTCTGAAGATGTGCCCTGTGTACTTTTAAAATAATACTATTCCTATCCCTTCGAAGAAATTGCATTTTGTTTTAAATTAAATTTACTGTATAAATAGATATTAACTTTCCTTCCATCAGATAAATTGTGTTTACTATAAAGGGCATTTTTAAGTGTGTAAAGCTTTTGATGAGCTCTGGACAATTGGTTATTTATATTTTTTCTCTTTCTTTTGAATTAATTTTTGTTTTATTTAATTAATTTTTCCAGTAGGATGCTTATCACATATACATTTCTTATTCCAGTGAGCCTAGTCGAGGGATGACCCCTTTCATTGAAGCTGCTTCAGAAGGACATGAAATTATTGTGCAATATTTGCTACAACATGTACGTGATTTAAGAGTATAGATTAGGGGTGTAATCTATTTTCATCGTTGTCACAAGTCTACAAACCATATGGGGGTGGGGGGGAGGGGGGGCAGGTATGGGGGGGGGGGTAATGCCCTCTGAACAATTTTGAAAAATAAAAGATGATGATCCATATTGCTGTCAAAGGTCATCATTTTTGTATCTTGAAATTTTTTCAAATAGTATTTTCATCTATTCTTGTCAAATGATATTTTCATCTCACAATTACATAACATTTATACAGATTATAGGAGAGAATTACCAAAAGGCATTGTTTAATTTTATCCGAAAATGATTTTTGAACGGATTTTTCTGCTGGCATTCTAAGCTGTATGTCAATGATGCAAGAAAGTAGGTCAGGAAAGTAGGTTAAATTTACAACCAAAAATTTAAAGAAAGGAGCAGTCTTAAGGTCTTTTATGGCTGATCGAGTGATCTATTCAGTTTATCCATTGGCATGTCAAATTTATTTGAGTCATATGAGAATCTAGTAGAAGTGGTTTTCATGTGTTACTGTGAATCCAAACTCCACTGATGCTCGGTTCGTATGTACCTTTAACATTTAGAAGTTCTTATGATTGGAATCGTTTTTTTTTTTTTTTTTTTTTTTTTTTTTTTTTATATATATATATATATAAGAAATCCATGGGTTATGTTTCAGATTAATAGTTGCTTGATTTGAGTGTAATGCTCTGGATTTATCTTGAAGCTCAGTAGACTAAATATTTGGTTGACTAGTTCTTTTGTGAAACTGGCCCGAGATGAAACACTCCCTAAATGTAAATATTGATTTTTTAATTAATAATTATTTTAAAATTTGACTTTTTAGGACTGAGCCTTATTCCTGATGCAGATCTCAGCTCATCAGATGAGGCCTTCCAAAAGCCCCGCCCTCCAAGTCACAGGCATAGTAAGCCAAAGTTAAAAGGTATGTCATAGGAATCTGTCCAGGTCATTAAGTTTAATGAGAGACCATTTTGTGCTTTTGACCCCCCAAAAAATTAATTGGAAAAAAATTGTCATAGCTTTCTCAACAATTTTCAAGCACTTACCCACTGTCAAGCGATTCATGTTTACCTGTGTTCTCAGTAATGTATTTTTACTTACCAACAATATTTAGTTTCAAACTCTGAAAAAGCATTTAATATACTAAAACATGTGATCAATGTTACTTTTTCCCCACTAAGCTAATCATAATTATTTTATTCAGGGCACCTAGATGATTATGTTTATTTTATTCAGGACCCAGTATTAGAGATGGACCAGAGGCAATGGCTAAAAAACTCAAAGACAAGAGGGGGGCCCAGAGCGAGCGTAAGTAAATGACTGGATATCGTATAGTTGTCTCACAAGATGGAGATCTCCTCTACCTGAGTGCATTTATTTATTTATTTATTTATTTATTTATTTATTTATTTATTTATTTATTTATTTATTAAGAGTATCTTTTGTTCTTTTTAGATTTGTGAGTGTTTATAATTGTTTATTTG